GCAACTTTTTAAGACTTGGGAAGTCCTGAGTGATCAGTATGAATATGATACTTCTTTTAATTGAGTTTTTAGATCTTGGAGACTGAAACCTTCCTGAACTGTTACTGAAAAATGTGAGCAATCCACTTGAATCCTATTAATTAGCAAGAACCTCTGAGAGCTGTAATTCATCCTCTCTCTGCAACACTGAAGTGCCCGAAGCACTGTACACCTAGCACTTTGGAAGCTGTAACTCCACACCTAGTATTAATAATTAACTCTGTCTTCTCTGGGACAATAATGCCCAGTTCCATGCAACATTTATTAGTTCCTTGTGTCTGTAATTCAATTAATAAGGTTTCTCTGAAGCTTCTTTAAATTCACAGTTAGCTAACGGGGCACACTTTGGCCTACCTTGTGATATAGGTAATTTACCTATAACACATGATACCAGTGATTACAAAGCTCAGTTTTGTCGCTCTGCGTTGTTTTTGACACGTCCTCATGTTAGTGAAGCTGCATTACTTCCAAGTAGGCACGCATATGTATATGTATGTGGTTTTGGTTCTTCTTGTTGTTTCTAAAGGAGTTGCATACATTTAGGACTGCTTTTTATTACTTGGTTGTTATTTCTGTCCTCACAGTTTATTATTAGCATGGAAGAACCGGAGCAAAGGACAGAGTGTGGCAAAAGTCCACAGGGATGTACAGAGGTCTTTCAGTGAGGTTTTTAGACATCAAGGTAGAAGCTTGAATTAAGTAAAATATTGGATTATATTTAGCAAAAAAAAGTGTGTTACTGATGGGGAAAGGACATTTCAAACCTGTTCATTGACTGAATGATGCCAGGTTGTTGCTGAACTTTTGAAGCCAGAAAGCTTAAGCAAAAGTCAGGCAAACGTCTCCTTAGCCAACAAATCCCAGAGGTCAGGAGTAACCCAGTGGAACTAACCTGCTCTAGAGATCTCGAGGGGAAAAAAGGCTGAGGAGGAGAAGGAAAACATACTTTGTTTCATGGCTAGAGCATCGTCTAGTAGTTGTGTTTTCTCTATTACTTCCTTGCATATAACTGCACATGTATTTCCACATCGTTACTCAAAGAACCACTTTCAAGCTCTGCTTCTTCACTGAGTTTGCTTTTCAGATATCTCATTAAAACTCAGGTGGGGATTTTTCATAGAATCAAGTTGTTATTGAGATTTGCATTTAACCACCAATTAAATAAGATGTTTAATTCAAGCAAATATTAATGGATTCAGCTAACAGATGAGCTGCTGTGGGCCACTTAATAACTCCTCTGTATATTTTCATGTGGTGGGTTCCCTTGTAAGACCTAGTCTGTCTAGATAAGTGGCATTAAAATGTTATTCAGAGGGTTAATAGTAAAATCCACCACAAAACAAAAAATGACATACTTGTAAAACATGAGAGATACCTTGAATTCACTTATCCCAAAAGTGAAAGAAGACTTTCACTCTTTTCTTTGAGAAGATATTTAAAAAAGAAATAAAAATTCCATTTTTACAACACCATAACAATCATAGAATTGTAGAATATTTAGGCTGGAAAGGATACTTAAGTTCATTGAGTCCAACAATTAAACTAACACTGCCAAGTCCACCATGTCCCTGAGTGCCACATTTATATGTCTTTTCCAGAGATGGTGAATCAATCACTTCCTTGGGCAGTCTTTTGCAGTGCTTGACAACCTTTTAATGAAGAAATGTTTCCTAATATCCATCCTAAATCTCCCCTGGCACAACCTGAGGCCATTTCCTCTCATCCTCTCACTTGTTACTTGAAAGAAGAAACCACCGCCACTTCTTTACAGCTTCTTTTGGGTAGTTGTAGAGAGCAAGAGGATCTCCTCTCAGCCTCCTTTTATCCAGGCTAAACAACATCAGTTCCTGCAGACACTCCTCATAATGCTTATTGTCTGGCCTCTTCACCAGCTTTGTTGCGCTTCTCGGGACTCGATCCAACACCTCAATAACCTTGTAGTGAAGGGCCCAAAACCGAACACAGTATTTGATGTGCAGCCCCATCAGTGCTGAGTTGGCATTCTTGGCCTCCTGGGCAGACTGCTGGCTCATATTCAGCCACCTGTTGATCAACACTCCCAGGGTCTTTTCCTCTGAATTTCTTTCCAGCCACTCTTCCTCAAGCCTGTAGCTCTGCATGGTATTTTTGTGACCCAAAATGCAGGGCCTGACACTTAGCCTAGTTGAAACTCACACAATTGGCCTTGGCCTATTGATCCAGACTATCCAGGTCCTTCTGTAGAGCCTTTCTACCCCCAAGCAGATCAACACTCCTATCAAACTTGGTGTAATGTACAAACTTACTGAGGGGGCACTCAATCCCCTCATCCAGATAATTGATAAATACTTTAGAGAGAGCTGGCTGTAACACTGAGCCTTGGAGAGCATCTCTCATGACTGGCTGCCAGCTGGATTTTACTCCACTCACTACAACCCTTTGGGCCATGTAACATGTGCTTAATTTCTATTAACTATACAATTATTATTAACTATGTGACAATTTTGGCTATTAACTTCACAAGGATGGAAAATATCAATTGCCACAGTTTTTAATGCATGTTTGAAGTATCTTTTCATGGTCAGTGTGAAATGGCAAAAGTCCTATTAATTAAAAAAATCAGAATGTATTGTAACTAGACTAGAATGCAAACGCAGTGTAAAGGGAAAACTAAAATAATACTACAACCCCACCATTTGGTCTTAGTTGATTTTTTTCAAGATTTATACCACAAATTTGTAAGTGCAGGAAAGCAACATATAAAAAAGACAGGAGTTGCTTTATACATTTTCACAAAACATGTAAGTAGCTTCACAAATATTGTACATGCATGGATCCAACTGATTTTGTCCTTCACTCTTGCATATGTAACTCAGTTGACTGCATGTGTAACCACACAGTAGGGAGTTTAACTGGTATCAGATACATTTCTGGTTTTTTTGGGCTGAAATTATGAATACAGGCTAATGTCATGAAAATCTCAGAAAGACAGATTATAAAGCAGTAACATCTAGGGACAGTTTATAACAGTTCTATAACCAGCTCACACTGGAGTGGGGCAGTTTTGGGGAAGAAGAGATACAGGGAAAAAGGAAACCTCAGCCACTGGCAAAGTAAAACCTGGGGAAACATTCAGGAGTGTCAGCAATAGTAAACCTGGAGATCTGGATCATCACCTTCAAAAAGCAGTGTTTTGATTTCCCCTGGAGAAAAAGCTTAAATACTGCTAACACTCTAACATGAAAGATTGCTTAGAGAGTCCGGGAGACAGACGGGGATAAGAAAAACTATTTTTTTTGTAGAAAACTTTGTAAAATGACATTTCAAACAAGTCGCCAGAAGGCTTGGATCAAGAGTTTAAAATAAATCTTTTTATTACTTTTGTTGTGAAGAGTTTATTTTTGCTTTGACTTAGCTTAATTTTATGGCAGAACATGTTTGTGGAGATCTTTTGTATCCAGCTGCAGCAAAAGTATGTTCATATCCACCATGGAGAATTTTTTATGATTAATGATTTTACTCATATTATCCCCTTATATTTTTAACTTTTTTCACTTGAAAAAAACCAAGCCAATCAAACAAAAAAACCCACAAACCCCCCTAAAGCAAACAAAAAAACCCCACCCCAAACTTGTATTTTGAAATCTTCATATTCCACACCCTAAAAGCACATAAACCCACAGATATTTTAGAGTTCTGTAGGTTTCGATTTCAGTAATTTTTCATTAAAAGACTCCAACGCTTGAATTACCTAATGATGGACGTGGTGGTATAAGGTTTTCCAGAATACGATATGCTGATTTGGGGGATGGGTATATGTCCAGTTTATTGATTCTTGCTTCTTTTATGGTACGGGTCCAGCACTGACTGCTAAGTTTATGAGGAAACTGCCACCTGCTGTTAGGACTGACTTAAATCTCCTGACATTATCACAGCTACACCGCTATTCTGCCAATGCCGTTGGCAGGTTTTGCATTTACCACAATATTTTTGCTTGCTTACCTAAAATATGTGAGCAGAAGATAGAAACATGGTAATTAATTACATTTAGTGAACACTTCTGGAGAGATGTGAATCACAACTAACGTTTTCCAAGTAGTCTGCCTTCTTTTAAGTGCTTAGTGTAATATTGTAATATACAGTGTTTTGCAATCATCTAATGCAATGATAAAATAGCTATACAGTCTTGGGCATACATTGACAACTAAGAATTTTTAGTCTGTTTTCCAGTGGTTTAGATCAGCACATTCAGCCTTTAGGGAATATATTCTCAATAGATACACACATGAAAGTCATACGTCTTAATTAAAATTAGATGAAATGGAGGAAATGTCAGTGTGCTCTTGATCTATTCTGTTTATTATTCAATGCATAGACATTATGTATTTTAAAAACAATTTTAAAATCTTATTTTCATATTTGTATCACCAGGATATTGTTTAATTTCTGTATCTTTATAAACCAAAATTCAGTCTTTTGTGAACACTGAAGCTACACTTCTAAGAAATTATTCCCAAACTGTTGCAGTTAGAGGTGGAATATGCAGAAATTCTGAAGACCTAAATTAAATCTAGTATTGAGAAAGGTAGACACAGTGGAACCAAAGCTTTAGTATTTATATATCTTCAAAATAAAAAATGAAAATAAATTTCCTTAAGCAGCTAGACAACAATTTTTATTAAGTGGAACCAGGAGGAATAATAGTTTGTAAGTTGCACAGACAGCATCTGAATTGCAAAAGAATGTCACTGTGACTGAATATATTTGACAGCACTAACTGGATGTAGGCAGATCTTAGAGCTCAAATACACTTGGGTTAGACTGGATTAATGACTTTGCTTGTTCTGCTGATCAGTCTTGTGTGAAATACAAAATCTTAAAGCTTTTCTTTCTAAAAATTAGTAAAAAGTTGCATTGCTATTATATATGCCATATCATCGCCAGAATATCATCTATACCTCTCTTTTGCCCTCATTTTCCAGGGAAGCTCAACTTTTTGTGGACAAGTTTGAAGGTGCTCTTGGAAAAGGAAAAGGAAAAAAATTCTATGCATACAAAGTGATGATGACCAAGGTAAATGTATTATTTCATTAACAATGTAATCCAAATGAGGAGACTTTAGCAGATTATTGTCATAAATAATCATCTGCCAAAATATAGTTCTTTGTCTTTCTTTGCACTTTAATGCTCTTATTTCAACTGCCCTCACATGAAAAGATTTCTAAAGCAAGTTCACAGTTTGTTTGAGACTTGTCATGAAGAAGAAAATAAATTGTTTTGGAGAGTTTGCAATAGTTTAATATCTTGTGGAAGTTAATTTCTCTTGGTGTAGATTGGGTTTTTCTGTGACTAAATACAAAGATCATTCTTGTCCTTGGGACAGTCCTAAGTGAAGGATCAGACAGTGTCTTTCTGCCACTTAGAAAAAATACTGGAGGAAACCCCACTGAGCCAAGGCTCCATGGCCACATGCCTCATAGGAATCAATATGGTTTTGTAGGATTGGGACCAAAAGGCAAGAGTGGTTGCTGAGGACCCAGAGTTCACACAATATACATTCTGGCAGGTCTCTCGTTGAGTTATTTTCTGTTTAGTCCCAAGGACTAAGTACCCGGTAGCCATGAATCCGGAATAGTATGCTCCTTGAGTACGTTCCTCAAAACAACCTTTATCTCAGTTTTACGTCCTTACACTATTTAATGGTGCAAATATAAGTCTGGTAAATTGGGATGGTTTGGGAAATTCAGTTCAAAAACATACTTTCCCCAAATTAAATGCTGATGCAGAATGACGGTAAGAATATTTGAAAGGATTACTTGCTGTGGCCCTTAGTTAGACTGGATTTTCTGCAAGCAGCTGTGTAGTCACATCTCATTAACATTAATGTTCACAAAAAATAATTAGGTTTTCAAACTCAGCTGGGCAAAAGAAATTCAATTACAGAAGTTATCCAACAGATAAACTACTAGGTAGACTAGTTAATTAAATGTTACAGCTTGAGCTCCAGAACTAAGTTAACAAATTAAAAAATAATTAACAAATTAAATTATCAGAAAAAAAATTCTGAAAAAAAATTCTAAATAAAAAGTAGGAATAGCATGATAGGAATGGATTATTTAATCATTCTTCTCATGGAAGAGGCTTCACACAAAGCCAGTAGGAGTCACGTTCAGAACAAAATAATGTACATGGTTCTTCCTAAGATAGTGGTTCCATTGCAGTGGGCTCTGCCAAAGGGTACTGTGGACAATGAAGAGTTCACATTAGATCAAGGGGAAATTGAGCACCTGGGCACTGAGATGACTTTTTTTGTTGCAACTGTTGTTTTTTTTGATTGGTGTTTTTAAAATTATCTGTCTATCTATCTATCTATCTATCTATCTATCTATCTATCTATCTATCTATCTATCTGTATCTCTAACCCTTTTCAGAAATGGATGAAATTTCAAAGAGATTTTGAGAATTTTAAGACAGCCTGCATACCCTGGGAAATGAAAATTAAGGAGATTGAAAGTAAGTACTCATGGCAGGTAATAAAAAATAGCATCTAGTATTGGTGCATTCCTGGTGCATACAAAATTGATAAATTATTTTCGGATATTTTAGAAATAAAGGTCTGTATTCAATGGGTAGCATAAAATCATAGAGTATTTATTATTCATTGGTATTTATTGAGATTGATGTTATAGCTAGTTGAAAATTTCCTTGAGAGAGTGTTAGTCACCTTAAAGATAAAAATCCTCAATCTAAAGATAAAAGTTCAGGAGCCACTATTGAAATTAATCCCGGAAAACTGGAATTATGATTTAGTCATTGCAAACTTTCACTTAATTTTTTCTTTATTTATACTACAATAATAATTTCTGAGGTGTATTTTCATCATCCTGAGCCTTACTTAAGAGGTATTTTTGGTGTTATTTCTGTACTTTTTCACCACATAGGGTAACACAGGGAAAACAATTGTGGTCTCAGATGAAAACATATACTAGGTGTAAATACAAACAAAACAGTGTAGTTAGTACTCCAAGTATGTTTCAGAGTAGGTTTTTCGGCACAAATAAATTTTGTGTTTCAGTTCTGGTGGTGAATTTAAACTGCGGCCCTCTCCTTGAAAGAAACTTGGCTTAACTACATAGGTATCTGAGAGACCATCAGAAGCTTTGCCGCTGATGAAATGCAGATGAAAGTGCAATGGAAACTGATTTTAGATAAGTTGCCTTTGGAAGAAGATGTGGGATGCATCAAAAAGCAATAAACAGAGAAGTAGAATAACAGGAAAATGATAAAATTCGAATTTTGTGGAGTTTTGGACTGCAAAATAAGTTTAGGAGGATGTCCTTAAACATACGGCCTACAGACTGCTGAACAGATTATCTATTCACCTCAGGTGGAGTTTCTAAAAAGTCTTCTCCATAGCTGTAGCTAAAATCAAACTCAGCAGCAAGATGTATGCTGGTCTGGAGGCATGAGAGACATCTTGAGGACTTGGGAGAGCCACATTTCTGCAAGTTTCTGCAAAGGAGTAGTCCCAGCAAAAATGGTTCTGCTAGTAGTGATTTCCAGCAGACATATCTCTTTTCTTGTAAAATTAGAATGGAAAAACAGAACAGGGTCATTTTTCCTGTCCTGCTTTTTTTTTTTAATTATTTATGTTATTGTTATTTGGAACGAGTAACATTTGTTGCTGTCACCTGTAAGATCCCAAAAATCACAGTGGAATAGTACCTTTCATAATCTCAAATAGTAATATTGTAACATTTATTATTTCTTTATTAATTTTTGTTCTGTTCAGCATATTGTTAAGACAAGCTGAAATTATTTTTACTCACAGAAATAATTATCTGTCTAAATATTGGTAATTTAAGAAGTACAGTTAAAACACAGTTTGGTGCAAAACTCTGTAGTAAAGAATAAGCACCTGGTGATGGGACTATCTTTACTTCCATGTGAAACACAGAAATAGCTAAGTAAGGGGAAGAAAGGGTACAAACCCTTATAGATTCTGAACAACTATAGTGAACAACTCTGATGAGCACTCCAAAACCAGAACTTCTAAGTACTTTGTGCCCTTGGAATGATTACCCCCACTAGCTAATTCTGTGCAGCTTCCTACAAAAGCTGGGCTGGTGCTGGCTTAACGTAACAACAATGCTTACAAATCCACAAAATATAACAAATAAAAATAAAAGGTGTGATTTTCTTTGAATCCCACTGCTAGAGGATTTAATGCTGGTAAATATCACAACTTTTATGTGATACTAAATACTCTTTATAAATTATACTTTAATATTTTTTGTTTCTGTTTTCTCTGCCAGGTCAGTGAATGCTAATCTACATTATCTGGAAAAAAAGTTATTAGACTTATGGTAATAAAGACAGTGAAAAGACACCCTGTTTTTATTTATTTTAAGTAAATTTTGAGCAAGTTCATCTTAAGGTAAAATAACATAAGAAGACTAACTTATCTGCCCTTTTTTCACATCTTGTGTATTTATAGGTCACTTCGGCTCATCAGTGGCATCTTATTTCATATTCTTGCGTTGGATGTATGGAATAAACATGATTCTCTTTGGCCTGACCTTTGGACTTGTAATGGTGCCTGAGGTGGGAATCTTCTACATTGAGAATTGTTATGTGAATTTCTGTCTTTGCAGTGAGATTTTACAGGACTGAACCTTTAAATAATATTTGTGATCTCTTTATGCTCCATTTACAAGTATTAAGATGTACTAAGGCTTTAAAAATGTACTCTTTCCACAGGCAGTTGTTGCTACATAGAGAGATGAAACAGACATGACTGAAAAATGTATTTAGGTTGTGTCCTTAAAGTGTTTGCCTGTGATCTGGGACAGTGCTTACCTACTTTTTTTTTCTTTGGAGAACTAAGGAGAGGAACTGGGACTAAAAATGCTCCAAGTGAAGTGTCTTGACTAAAATGTGCATTGTGATAGAAATAAATATTACAGGTCTCCAAGGCACCATTCAGTATTCTCAGAAAGAATTACAGAAGTAGGTCATCCTCACTAAGCAGTTAAGGCCTATAAAACAAGCAATGCTAAGAAATGATAGATCGCTTTCCCTTCCTTTTGATATTTTGCTTCAAAATGTAAATTGCAATTTTTTTTTTTTTATTATTTTTTTTTTTGCTAGGCTTTGATGGGAAAGCCATACGGTTCTTTACCTAGAAAAACTGTCCCAAGAGCTGAAGAAGCAACTGCTATGAACTTTGCTACTCTCTGGGATTTTAGTGTAAGTGCATAAATTTGCAATGTGTGCATGTTCACAAGACTCCCTGATTATTATGGGGTTTTAAATAATTAATTAACATTCAGAGATTTAATATGAAATATTTCAGAATAAAATGGCAATAGAATTAACTTACATGTTTGTTACACAAGTTCTGTGCATAGTCAAAACCTATAATGAAGCTCAATATCCATGTGCACGTTTCAGTATATGTAGCAATCTAAAGGCACATGGGAAAAAGTCCCAAAGCTGGATTTACATCCTGTCTATCACCTTTCAATTTCTTACGGGAGAATTTGGTCCTCTGTTTTTATATGACTAAGGTTCCGAATTTTAGGATGCACTGTGAATTTGAAACAAAGAAGAAATAAAATTCCAGTGATGTGCTCTGTATGTTTTTTCTACAATAAAGAATGTGATTTTAATTTTTTCTCAGTCTTATAGAATATACAGGCATTTTAGCTCAAATGAGAAGCATGCCATTATTTTTCACCATTGATGTGATGGATTTAGCCCGAGGGTTTATACCTCGTGTACTGACAAGATAATGGTATATTTCTTAACGTGTCATAGTGCTTCTTTTCTTCCTGAAAACAACAGCTTTATCTAATTTTGCACGTGGCATGTCTCTGTAGTCAACTTTTCTATATAAAGATGATGCAGCTTTGCATAAAGTCAGCTGATGATAAATTTGGTATGACACAATGTTGCTTACAGAGCTGCCAGGTTTCTCTGTAGCATGCAGTCAGTGGCCTATAAAGAGGCTCTTCACCTGTGAAACAGTGTGATCATCTAGTTAAGATTTTCCTTCAGATTAATGAAAGCAGCATCCACGGAACTAAGTGTGATTTCTCCCTCAATCTGCTGCATTCTTTCCCTTGTGTAAGAAGTACCAAGACTTTCAAGGAGTTATGCAAATTATGTATCATTTAGCACTTGGGTTGTTTCAGAAACAGCTAGCATGAATACTTTGTTGGAAGAAGACCCATTTCTTTGAAAAGTAAACTCAGGTGCAGATGCCTCCAGTTTACGGCTCAGCTTCTCCAGCTGTCTGTAGAATGACTCACCTACAAGTGGCCTCTCCATGTAGGTTTGGACCATGTGAGTCATTGGAACAGGCTGCCCAGGGAGGTGGTGGATGCACATCACTGGAGGTTTTAAAAAAATGGGTGGGCATGGTATTTTTTGGGAGATGGTTAACGGTTAGGGGTTGTAGGGTGCATGTTTGGACTTGATCTTGAAGGACTTTTCCAACCTTGATGATTCCATGATTCTATGGGGAGGTGGGGAGGACTGTGCAGGCTGTAGAGCTGACCTAGACAATGCCAGGAGGGGCACAGGCAGATTTTCATACCTATCCCATTTCCAGGAGGAGCTCAGCTCTGATCTCTTCTGAAAAAAAAGCAAAAAAAGGGTACAATGTCCATGTTTCTTGTTAGTATTGCCATCTTTTAGTATGGTTAAGATGTGGAGAGATTCCTAACCTTGTATCACAGAGATCCCTTAGTTTGTGACTCAATAACTTCATGGAGAGACTCAGATGATGCTAGATTTTGATCCTTTATTTAGTTTCCTTGGCTCTATTGTCAATTTTCAGCTCTCAGTGGAGGAAGAATCAGGTTATAAACTGACATAACATCGGAAGAAACTTGACTGGATATACCAGTTTGCTCATTTACAAGTGAATCTTTCAGGCTAATTAACTGTAGGCAACTGAATTTAAAGAAAATAACAAAATAATAAGTAGAAATGAAAACACTTGTCTGTCTTTTGGCTACAAAACTATGTGAATAGACTAATTCTGCTTTATATGATAGAAAGATCTTTTTAAAAAAATATGTAACATTTGTGGTGACAGCTGCATAATATAGTATTACAGCTTGTTCATCAGGAGCTGTATATCTGAGTGGCAAGAAGAATACATCTAGACTTATAATTTGGAAGTTAAATAAGGATAAAATATTGTAAAATGAGAAATCAAAACATCAGTGAGCTATTGAAGAAAAAGGAATGACCGTAACTTGGAGTAACTTGGAGAAGAGAGACCAGAAGAGCTTTTGACAGCAAATGGGAATAAAGTTTTAAAAATATGTGTATTTGAGAAAAGATGGATTAAAACAGGTGGTGAAAGGAGAGGGGAAGTTTATAAAACTGACAGTGACAGGACCTGACAGCTTTGAAGTGCAAAGTGTAATAAAAAACAGAGTAACAGTTAACACAAAGAGCAAATGTGAAGATAAGAAACACAGAATAGAGCAGTAAAAAGGATAGATCCCCTAAAACACACAGGGACAAAAAAAAATTTATTGAGGCATGTGAGATAGAGGAATGCTCCCTGAAGACAATGAAAACAGGAGATAAGAAATAGTACCTTTCATCTGCTCCAGTTCTTCCATGTTACCAAGTAAATTATAAATAATTGCACCCACATTAGCAAACATTATTGGACCTTAAAAAAAATAAATAAATCTCACACTCAACTGTTTGTTAAGACAGTAAACCTATCTTGTGTTTTTGTGCACTTGAAATTATATTATTTTTACTGACATTGTAAAGAGAAACTGGTTTGGATTTTTATATATTTTACTTGGACTTAAGTTTTAACATTGTATATTTTACAGTTCAGATCACAGTATCACAGAATCACAGAATCCTAGGGGTTGGAAGGGACCTCACATCTAGTCCAACCCCGCTGCCAGAGCAGGATCACCCAGAGCACATCACACAGGAACATGTCCAGGAGGGTTTTGAATGTCTCCAGTGAAGGAGACTCCACAACCTCTCTGGGCAGCCTGTCCCAGAGCTCGGTCACTCTATGCTCCAGCTTGCATCCATTACCCCTTGTCCTATCAATGAAAAAAGCTTAACTCCATCCTCCTGACACTCACTCTTTACATATTTGTAAACATTGATGAGGTCACCCCTCAATCTCCTCCAAGCTAAAAAGACCCAGCTCCCTCAGCCTTTCCTCATCAGGGAGATGTTCCACTCCCTTAATCAGCTTTCTGGCTCTGAGCTTGACTCTTTCAAGCACTTCCCTGTCCTTCTTGAACTGAGGGGCCCCGAACTGCACACAATATTTCAGATGCGGCCTCACCAAGGCAGAAGAGAGGAGGAGGAGCACCTGCCTTGACCTACTAACCACACCCTTTCTAATGCACCTCAAAGTGCGATTGGCCTTCTTGGCCACAAGGGCACATTGCTGGCTCATGGTTATCCTCCTGTCCACCAGGACCCCCTACACTGCTCTCCAGCAGGTCACCCCCCAACCTGTACTGGTACATGGCGTTTTTCTTCCCCAAATGCAAAACTATATACTTGCCCTTGTTGAATTTCATCAAGTTTCTCCCCGCCCAACTCTCCAGTCTGTCCAGGTCTCCCTGAATGGCAGCACAGCCTTCTGGTGTGTCAGCCACTCCTCCCAGTTTTGTGTCAACAGCAAACTTACTGAGGGCACACTCTGTTCCCTCAGCCAGGTCGTTGATGAAAATATTGAACAGTACTGGTCCCAGTACTGACCCCTGAGGGACTCCACTACTCACAGGCTTTCAACTAGATTTTGTCCCATTGACCACAACTCTGTGACTTCTTCCTTTCAACCAGTTCATGATCCACCTCACTACCTGATCATCAAGAGCACATTTCCTCAGTTTATCTACGAGGATGCTGTGGGAGACAGTGTAAAATGCTTTACTGAAATCAAGATAAGTCACATCTACCGCCCTACCATCCACCTAGTTAATTCTTCATAGAAGGCTACCATCAGGGATGTCAATGGAATTTAACACAGTAATTCAATCAATAGAACAGGGCCCATAAATGACTTTTAATTAAGGATCTGGACTAAAGAGCACAGAAACTATCTTTCTTTCTAGCCATTCAACCACATGCAGAGTAAAGAACATAAAGAGAGACAATAAGCAGTGAGAGTGAACCTCAAAGCCCACACACAATTGCTTCAACATCATCAAGAGAACTTGTGGTATGTTTATCCAGCAGTGAGGGGAATTCTTATGTCCATGGTATTTATCTTTGTTCTCAAAGTGTTAACAACACATCTACTGACAGGGTATGTTGAAACTAAGTTTTTATTGACATTTTTATTTGACAGTATGTAAGAATGGTTATAATGATCTTTTCCACTACAGTCCTCATGTCCAGTAAGCTGCTTGAAACAATAGCCAAGTGTGTAAGTGTAAACTGGAAATAATTAAATTTCTGGAACTAGCTTAAAATCTTATTTGGAAACTAGCTCTACCTGTGTCTCTGTGGTTAGTAGCCACGTTTTACATTTTATCAATTATTTTTTTTAGGCTTTTTTACACCTTAGGTGTTTTAGACAACAAAAACATCCTTTGGCAAGGGATTCCAGGAATTAACTTGCATGTTTTGTGGAAAAACACTTTCTTTTGTTTGTTTAAAATAAAATGTAAAATTATTTTTTTATTTTATTTGTTAATGTTACCGACTGTGTTATAAAGAGTAGTCACACAGTATTTGGTACCGTATGATGTTGTTTATCTGTCACATATGATCTCTATTCAGCTCTCCTCCTTAGTCAACTGCTTTCCACATTGAATACTACTGATCTATTAAATCTTTCATTGTGTTGAAGAAAACTCATAAATACATGCAACACAAATATAGCAGTTTGTTGTAAACATATGCAAACCACAAAGAAAGTGTGTATGAGCTCTAAATATTCCAGCAGTATAACAGCATAACATAGTACAATTACAAATTGTGACTTTACTTAGTGATCTTACTAGCACAGCTTTGTCTCAGTTCAGCCATAAGGGAATAGTTATTTTTGTATCTCATGCCCTTTCCTCCCTCTGTTAGTCATCTATGTAATTAGTACCTAGAAGGTACACATTTAATTAACTTTTTGTCCACCCACTATGTTGAACCATATGAAAGTCACCAGCTATGGTGTAGCAATGTTATTTTATTAAAAAGCTGATTAAACAAAATTTGACAATGCAAAATCATAAAAATAATAT